AGATGCATCTTAGCTCTGGAAATTGTTATTGAATATGTCAATGCTATTGTAATGAAATGCTTCTTCTAATTATATGGTTATTAAATAAATAATTTAAGATAAAAACAAAAGGAAAAAGAAAAAAAGTAAAAAAACAAAAAACTACCTTTCCTACCACAGGATTGTTTAAAATAACCTAGTTCATAATATCACTCCCTTTAAATACAAATTACCAACTTGAAAAGCCCACAGAACATTATACAGAACAAGGACTTCACTGGTCTGCTAGCCAGCTCTGAAAAGTCACATAGGTATCATACACCAATTCCTAAAGTGCTATTCTCAAATACAGCAATGTGGGTCTTTGGATTTTTTCAAATTGTTAAGTGCTGTTTCAAAAATACTTGATTAAAGATTTTGGAAATTTAAAAAGATAATAGATATAGATGACAGATTGATAGACATATATACATAGAGAGATACGCAGATGATAATAACATATGTTAAATGTTATGTGGACCTGTACAGGCAAGAACTTATTTCGATTGCACCTTCTTTCAGTTAAAAAATTTTTTTTGATGTTGTTGAGACACTTTCATGCAGCCCAAGCTGCCAACAAACTTGCTATGCATCCAATGATGATGTTGAACTTCTAATCCTCCTGCCTCCATACCTTACTGCTGAGATTCCACATCTATACTACCATACATCACGTGGTTTTATGCAGTTCTAGGGATCACACCCAAATCACACAAGGCAAGTGCTCTGTCAACTGAGCTACATCTGAAGACCAATACATAGGTTCTTTTACATAATTAAATGATTTACTTTTTAAGCATTTCAAACATGAGTTCTGTATTTATATCATTTCTACCCATCCCTCTCCTCCCTCCAGTTCCTCCCATTCCCAACCTCTCTCAATTTCATGACATCTTCTTCTTAAATTGTTACAGATATATGCATATGTATTTATAAATAAGTCTCTATAAATATGCATAAATAGAACACCTATTGAATCCATTTAGTGCTGCTCGTGTGTATACATAAACACTGATTTTTTGCTGGTTGACAATCTTCAAAATGCCCTTTTGGTTTTAGGCAGTTCTTAAGAAAAAGAAGCTTCATGTAACTATATTTTATATGTGTCCTAAATATGTATATTGAAGACACTGATTACCAAATGAAGACTTTGAGGATATTCTCATCACACACAATTCTAGTTTCAAGTAACATATCTGAGTTTTCAGTCAGCTTTCAATGTAATCATGAAAGACAGGATTTAAGACTATTATCATCCCCTTATTATGTATTCTAATCTTGCTGTTAATGCAATCTATCCAAGTCTGGAGTATAATTTTGTTTGGTCACCTTTGTGAATACTAGTGTTCATCATTGTATGTACGTATCAACCAATTATTCATTTTCAGATTATTCATAAATATATCAACTATAAAACTTTGCTTCCATCTATTCAAAACTCCAAACTGTTTATCACAGTAATAATATCTTCCACTATAGTGGATAAAATGTTACTGATCATGTCTACCATCCTCCATTTGTTCAATTTATGATGGAGCCTCAGAGTTGGGATGTGTGAAAGTTTCAAGTTTGTGTGTGTGTGTGTGTGTATGTGTGAAATATTCAAAGTTCATATGACATGTGACAGGTTCTTCAAAACAAGCAAAAATTCAAAGCCATTCAGATGCCTGGGAAATGCTAATGTCACCTTCTTCCAGTTGCTTTGAAATTTGTCCATCAAATGCTGTTCAAATTGCAGCACTTCAAAGGGAAATGATATTTGCTATTCCTTCAATTGTGCTGCCTGAATTCCATCACTCTTTAACAAGCCTGTTTTACAAAATAAAAGGAAGTTAGAAATGAATGTAGTAGGTGAGTGTCTCCTGACCCAGAAAGAGTCTGAAAATGATACCTCAAATTGTTCTTATAGTTCTCCTAACAGCCTATCTACCCTGCTGTATAGTTAAATATACTTAGTTAAATAGTTAAATAGTTAAATATATTGAGGGCATTAAACTTATGGTTATGTTTTGTAAATATATTCAGTAAAAATTAAATGCAGAATTTCTAAATAGATGTTAACCATTGTAATGGTCATTATCACATTGTTATTAATAAACCCTAACTACCAGTTGCCCTTCTCAGTGTTTAAGCATGTAATCCTCATTTTTTTATACCTTTCTCAAGAAATGTACACGGCATGATATTGTATCATGGCGGTGATAAAATAGTTCCTCTGCAATGCCAACATCAATGTCAAAATAAGGCTTATGGTTTTAGAAAGAAGAAAAACAAAGTAAGCAAAACAAAAACAAAATGAAATCTCTGCTAGCATTCACTTAGAATTATATTCGGTAACTGCATTTAATATTCATAGGATCTATATAGGAGAAATGCTAAAATATTAGTGTTAAGTATAATTTCATTAATTGTTTGATCAATAAATTATTTAATAAATGTTAATCTTGTAATAGATATCATCTCTGTGTTTAGAATTAATGATAAACATACAGTCATTAAAACCTGACAGTTATTCCTTATAAGTAAGATGGATATAAAAGAAAAGATCAATATTGAATTAAATGTTAACCATAAAAGCCCCCAAATTCTCAATTTTATTGAAAATACACTCACAACCCACAAATACATGCAGGCAGGCATATGGTGCAACAAATAAATAAAAGAGATATCTAATGATTATTATACTTATTTATCCAAAATTTTTCACATTTATATTTATGGGCACAACTGCTAATGGCCTCTTTACTCAGAGAACTTATGTTCTAACGAGGAAGAAGTAGCTGTATTTCTATCTACTCTTCTTTTAAACAAAGATTTAGTGATTAGTTTTTGATCAAGTCAGATCTGTTTCAGCAAATGCACATATAAGACAATTCACATTAATTTTTTAAAATAGTTAAATATAATCTCATCAAATAAAGGGCCTTTTGATGCATGAACACTTGATTTTCTATAGATTGTGATGGCGCAATTTAAGAAATGCCTGATTGCTATTTCCCTGGGGGCATTAAGTGAAATGTTGGATTATTTTCCCATATATATATGATGCAAATTAAATTATAAAGAAGGTAAATTCATACTTTCAAATATAAAATACTTATTGAAATATACTTTTTGAAAATTCAGAGCTTTAAGATTTCGCTTTTGACTTTCATCTCAGGTGAGATTTACCCAAAGATGTACCACATCTGCTTCTTCCTGGTGACATACATGGCACCTCTGTGTCTCATGGTGTTGGCTTATCTGCAAATATTTCGTAAACTCTGGTGCCGACAGGTATGTCATATCAAATTTTATTTTCTTTAGGATGCACCTAAAACAAAATTTATGAATTCATTGAAAAAATATAACATGCTCGGCAGGGAGTATTTGCTTATTCCTCCTCCTGAAATAATGAGACTCTAGAGGTGAAAATCTCTCTTGATATTTTTTGTTATTTAGGAAATGTTTTAAATTCTGCCTTAAGAACTTCACATACATGATAAAATTTTAACCTTAATGATTAACTGAGTTAATTTTTTCTCGGGGTAAGATTATTGATTTTGCTTTTCATGAGAAATAACAAAAATTCATGTCAAGTTTCTAAGATTATAAATCTGATTGTACTTTTAAATGAAAAATTGTAAGACGTTTTAATACACTATTATATCTCCATCTTCAACGATCTCATTTATAGTATAGTAAAAGCATACAAAAATTCAGAAGTTGTTTTCTCCCCAGCTCCCTCCAACACCTCCCACCTCCTTGTGCCTCTATCTTCAGCAGAATTCAAGCATCTTAAATTCTGAATTAGGTCTACTGTGATTCATTATAAATATCTGCTGTCCATGAAGATTTCATTCATTCTTAGAGATTCATTCATCATGTAGTGATTTTTTTGCAGGCGGGTCAGTCTTAAGCTAATATCTCTAGTCTATGTCACTAGTGAATTCATTAATGCTGTAGGGGTATAGTCAGGAACAAAGCAAAACAGTCTTAATAATACAAGCAGAAGGTACCATAGCTAGATGCAATGGGGGGTGGAGGTCCTCTAAGCCTGAACTAGCAATATTTAAGCTGAATCTTGGTGATTTGAAAGAAATTATCAAGCACATGTAATGACTTGTAAATATACAGAGAATAGATATGGCTCAACCACTTATATGCAGTAAAGCTACATGGTATGAGTCTTAAAGGTGCATTCTTACCGTCTCTTTAATGACAGCCAGAGCATTGAGTTTATCAAGACTGTGGATGAAGAAGTTATTAGCCTGTTTTCTGTAGCATGTTTTATTGATAAAGAAATTACTAAGACCATCTTACTTCATTGAAAGCATTTCTTTTTTTGTTTGGTTGAGGATTTTTTTGTTTTGATTTATTTTTAAATATACTTTTAATAATTCTTTGAGAATTTCATACATGTATTCAATGTATTTTGATCATATTCACCCAAGATTTCTTTACCTAAAGTTCAGAATCATTTTTTAATAACTGAAGCCAAATTTGTGCTGCCCATATACTCCTGGCTTTGAGATAATACCTGGAGTATGACTGACCTACCAGGAACCACACCCTTAAGGAAAACTAACTCCCTCCAAACCACCATTGTCAAGAGCTCCTCAGCTTGTAGTGGGAGCTCCTGAGCCTCTTCCTCTTCCATGCTGGAATGTTGGCTGGCTTGATCTTGTGCAGATCTTGTGTAGGCCACCACAGTTGCTTGAATTCATGAGAGTAGCCATTCCTGTCATGTCCAGAAGACACCATTTCCCTCTGGTCTTCCCCAACCTCTATCTCTTATAGTCTTTCCATTCCCTCTTCCATAATGATTCCTAAGATGTCCTATTTATGATCAAACATTCCACAGACATTTATTCTCTATACTTTACTCAGTTGTGAGTTTCTGCATGAACTGTCATCTAATACACAAAGAAACTTATCTGATGAGGATGGAATGCTGCACCAATGTATGGGTATGGAGCTATGGATGTAGACAACAATTTGATAGTATGTCAGTTTAGCAAAATAATAGTAGTGGACTCACCCCTGGAGCCTACGAGCTTCTCAGCCATGAGTTCTTAGCCAGAGTTATGTACCAGGTGAATGTTTCCCACTGGGCAGCTAATCAGAAAGTGGTTGATTATCTCCATAACATTTGTGCCACTATTGCACTTATGTCATATTTTGTCACGTGAGGCATTATTATAGCTCTCAGAGATTGCAGATGGGTAAGACTGTTAATGACTTTTCTTCCTCAGCACCCTGAATAGCACATGAAAATTAGGCAACAGGAAAGAAACTTTCTGGTCAGTGCCAACTTTATTCTTCCATGTTCTCATCAAAGTGTGTGGTTTCTGGGCTGGAGAGATAGCTCAGTGGTTAAGAGCACTGGCTGCTCTTTCAGAGTTCCTGTATTTGAATCCCAGCACCCACATGCCAGCTAATAGCAGTCCTAACACCAGGTCCAGGGGAATCTGACACCCTCTTCTGTTCTCTGCAGGCATTGCAAGCCCCAGGTGCACTTATATACATATAAGAAATACACTCATACACATAAAATAAAAATAATAAACAAAGTATTCTTAAAAGATGTGTGGTCTCATCAACATTAGAGTCTTACCATCAAGTTCGAGCAATGGCAATTCCCAGTATTTTGTAGGGGGAGGTCCTCTGAGACACCCCTGACCAACTACTCAAGGACAGTTATTCTAAATCTGGCACTGTGCTTTTAATTTGGCAACCTGTATTTCTGGAAGGAGTATTATTCTCTGTATAACTCCAATTAAGCCATTACAGTAAAATCTCTGTCTATCTATCATCTATCATCTGTCTATCTATCTATCTATCTATCTATCTATCTATCTCTCTATCATCTATCATCTATCTGTCATCTAGGGCCAATCTCTTTTAAGGGTGTGATTGGGTAGGCTAATAAGGCTCCAGTGGATGAATCCACACCAAAGGACATTTGGACAAATTAGACTCTATAGACCTTAATATCTGTCATCTATCATCCATCTATCATCTATCTATCTAATCTATCAATCTATCATCTATCTATCTAATCTATCATCATCTATCTATTTCATCTATCAATGATTTATCTATCTATCATCTATCATCTATCTATCATCTATCTATTGTCTATCTATCTATCTATCATCTATCTATATTTCATCTATCAATCATTTATCATCTATTTGTCTATTATCTATCTATCTATCTATCTATTCTATCTATCTATCTATCTATCATCTATCTTTCTATCATCTATCTATCATCATCTATCATCATCTATCTGTCAGCTAATTATCATCTATCATTTATCTATATGAAGGATTATAGAAAAGCAAATTTGCATACAGCTTTTTCAATCTTCCTTAGTATTGGTTATCCTTCATTTCAATAATGTTTTATTTGGTCTTTGAGGATAAGTCTTCATTTACATCCTGTTCAATCATTGTCGTTTGAGCCATCTTTTCAAGATCATCATTCACTCATTAGAATCAAACTACTCTTATACTTTCCAATCCTGTGTGTTGTGTAATTTCAGGATTTTTTTCTTCTATTTTTACATAGAAAGGTTTATTTTATTGCTTTTCATATTCATTCATGAATTTATACAGTATATGTTTAGCTTTATGACCTCTTTTTGTCCTATAGCAAAGCTAATTAGTATTCTATTCTTCAAACCTTTCAACTAAAACTAAAAGATAAAACAAAAAACAAATGTAAACCACTGTAAGACATGAGAAGTAATTTGTTTAATGCCCAGTGACATTCTCAGATTTCTCTCCCTGCCCTAAAGTCAAAGCGACATATTCTGGGGTGTTTTGTCACTTTATCACTCCATTTCCTTGTATGTATTATTGAGTTGGCTAACTTTTATTAGGTCATCCTACTATCAACATGTATGTTGTTTCCTACCACATTTCGGTCTCATTTGCAGTCCATGTCAGTGCTGAGATCAGCTGTGATTCTGCCAGGCCTAGTAAGTGGCATCTCCCAGGACATGACATTCTGGGACTAACAATAAAGGCAGAAAGGCTGGAAGAAATGTCTAATACATCTTGATATGCTGTGAGCCAGCACATCTTACATCTTGTTAATTTTCATTGGCTCAGAAGTGAGATATTTAACTATTTGCTGACAGAGGGTACAAATCATGGAGCCATAAGGATCTTCTTACAAGTTTGGGGTAGATAATATGGAATAACAAAGAATGAAAATATAAAATATGCAGACTGGGACAGAGTGCATTAATTTAAAATTTGACAATGCTGCATAGTAAGTACATGTAGTTTGCCAATGACTTCTGTCTCTTTCACCAGCATTAAAGTGGGTTTCTTCAGTGCCTATCTCACACATTTGCAATGATTTCTGTGACTCTCATCATCTTTAAATGGGGCTGTACAGCACCTATTTCACCAGTGTGTCACACATTAGATAGAACAAGAGCCTGAGGCTTGAAAAGCTCTCACTGAATACAGTACCTTAGCAGTCTATGCAGCCAGTTGGTCTGCTCATATTTCTAAATTAGCATGTGTTGAATTGTTGTCTACGACTTTTGTTTGCTTATTTTTCTTCATTCTTTTTCATGCTGGGGACCAGGCTATTCAGGTGTCTTGTATTGCATGACATCCCTAAAAATGACTTTCTTTCAGAGAACTTTAAGATTACATTTTGATGATTCTTTTATTTTCTATTTTTGTCAATTGATGACAAAACCCCCTAGCCTAAATCTCTGTGTATGTTCTATCACTACTTGGCCAATATACATCAGTGGTTCAGGACATGCTTTATTTTCAAAGTGAAAGCAGGAGCTGCCAAGAGTTTAAATAAATAAGAACACACAGCAAGTCATTTTCTCAAAGAAATGTATTCAGAAAAATTAGAATATGAAAAATTTCTTAAAGAAGAAAAATATTAATGTGTAATATGAATATACAGACAATTTGAATTTAGATTGAAATTTTGATATGAGCATCTCTCATCACATAGCTTTACTGGGATATATGAAGAACATAAAATAAAAGTTAGCTTTGCTTATTTATTTGCTTAAATATTAATGTGCCTTTAAAATTCCTTTAAAACTCCTTAGGAACAATGCAATTGTCTTATTGTCATTATGTTCCCAACTTTGACATACTGCATTGCACAAAATAAAGAAAACTGTTCTTTAATTTAATGGATAACTATCAAACCACAAACAATTTGATTCTTTACTATTTAAGCTTATATTTCTCTATTCCCAAAACATTGAAATAAAAGTTTACCAGTTTAGCAATAATCTACATTTT